CCGTATATCATTAGCGAGACGACGTCGAGATGATTATTTTCTTTCTATTAAAAAAAATCTTTCGACGTCTTCTTTTCGTTTTGAGTATAGATTAATGTGTAAAGGAAGAAACGGTCTAAGAGATGCGGTTTGAGATAGATTTGCTGAAAAATATAATTAAAAAATTAAAATATAATAATAATAATGAGTTGAAAAGTAACTTTTGAAAGCTGGGGTTATAATAAAATATTATTTTAAAAATAATCCTTTGAAATAAAAACGAATAATAGAAACCACTTTAGATATATTGTAAAAATATCTGGTGATATTTGAAGAAAGACTCAACTACCACCAAAGACGGGAAGAAGAGATGTTATGCCTGACGATGAGAAGAGACTGTTTGACGTGAACTGTATTGGTGTCCGCCGCCACCTTTCCGTGAATGAAACCCTCTATATACCATAGAGTTCGGGGCGCCCCAAAGTAGAACTGATTGGAAGGGACAACCGCACAATAGCCCGCGTCTCTCCTTTTCAAATACACCGCTATTTTCACACTCTCCTTATTTTCCCTTTTCTCTCTTTGCTGTGTGATGTTGAGTTTCAATATTACTCAAACAAAAAAATCCAAATGCACAAACACTCTGTATGATTTCACATTTTTTATGCAAAAAAAACGAACAATAAGTAAAAAAGAACAAACATTAAAGACTTCACCCCTTTTTCTTCTTTAACGATTTAAGATTAAAAATTACTTTGATCTTTTCATTTTTGAAATTTTCAATAAAACCACCTGGTTTTGTTTTTTTTTCTTCGTTATTCTACTATAAAGCTTGTAATTTGAGCAGATGTCACAACAAATCACCTATTATAATCGGTAAATACCCACCGGGTCGTGGGAATTTTGATGTAAAATCACTACAAAAAGAAATAATAAAGTATCAAATTACACAAATATTCTAATATTATTCATTCTAAATCTTATTTTCTTAAAACCGTATTCGAGTTGTATCATAATGTTAATAAAAAAGAAGCTGCTATTCACAAATTATTATTTCTTCAACAACCCAATCCTTCCAAAGTGTATATAGGCGACTTATCACTCGCTAAATTATGTTAGTTTTTATCTATTAGGATCGTTGAAGTGAGGAAGGAAAGATTTCCTATTCTGGCTATGTTAGATCCAGACCATGTCCTGTTTTACACTCTAAAATACGAGAAATGGTGATTTCTGTAAATGTCACTGCAATCAGAAGACACTATTTAAAGCAGAGTTAGTAATTAATATGAGATATATTCACACACTAGTACACAAGAAATTAGTTCTGCTCTGATAAGGTGTTTCTAATCTTGAACAATGCTCCAGCACATACTTTACCCCTTGATGGAATAAGAATACCATAATATATAAGCTTTGTATAACTCCTAGGATAGTGCACATCTAAAGTGACTCTCTAACAGAGTGATATTAACTTGACAACAAATGGGGGAGTTATCCTATAACGAGGAACATCAATTTTTCAATCTGATGGCACTATCTAAATCATCTTTGCTACACTACAAAGAATTCCTCGACTTTGTTTCACTCATTATACTATAAGTTTTGTTCATGGATTTAGTAGACAAAGACAGTTATGAGTTATGACAGACAGACTAAGGCCCACTTTTACCACCTCCTGATAAATTTATCCGATAGATAAATCCAGTTCTTAGCCAATGAGAGCGCTTAAAACCGCTGTATCCATGGTAATTATCCGTTAGATAGTTTATACTACCATCTCCTGGTTAAGTTATCTAAGGGATTATTACCACGGTTACGGCTATTTTACGCGCTCTGATTGGCTAGTAGATGGGTTTATCTATAAGATAAATTTATCTAAAAGATGGTAGTAATGGACCTAAGACAGATAAGTTTTGCCGCATTCCGAATATGGATAATATGGAATATGTACAACATATCTAAACATATAAAATTAGGAAAGTTTTGAGTTATTATTCTGAGTTATTTTTGTTATTGCACTTATAAAAAAATTGAATTGTGTGTGCGATATATAGCAATCTCTTTTTCTAGCTTTTCTAGCAAAATTCTTTTTTTACAGCTTAAAATTAAAAACTTAAAAGAATACAACTAGCACGCGGCTAATTTGGACACTAACTTTTGACACACATTAAAAGACATGCTGTCGTATGTTGGTAATCATAATTTTAACGATCAAATGGCTCTCAAGTAACAGTTCTTAGCTAAATAGCATCACCTCAACTGACGTGGCTTCGTAAATAATGAAGGAATATGAGTCCTCAAAAGATATAATGTTATTATACACATGTCTGGAGAAACTTCTAAGTTTGCTAGTTCTTCGCGAAAACTTTTAATATTAACGTAGCTATGTCTAAATGATTAAGGCACGTAGGTATTTAGGATATAATCAATAAAATCAAATTTTGGTGCCGAATACTACAAACAATCATATTGGCGTCTCTAAAATAGTTACTTAACTTGTTTACCTTATTCATATAAACATTTTAACTGCTACTGTTAAACGTTTCAAATTACTTTATTACAGAAAATGCTTTATAATGCATAAATAATTATTTTAGATCGGAGCATAATCTTGACTTTAAAGCACTAAAATGTGAAATCGAAACAGATTTCTTTGTGATTGATTTAAATACTTATTTGGCAGTTTCATTTCTTGAAGAGAAATCGAAGGATCTTTTTTATGTTACAAAACGTTCAAATTTTGTTTACAAATTTAGAAGGATTAAAAAGATTTTAATGTTCTCATTAATCGAAAATGAACAATTAATCTTTGATAATAATAAAGCAAATATTTTTGTTTGGTGTTTAATTCGTAACATAAAACGTTACGAATTACAAGTATACTAAATAACTATATACACAGAGAAAGAGTCTTTTGTAAAGGTAGATTTGTAAAGGTGTCAATGAATGTAACGGCGATGGAAAAACGTCGGAGTGAATTGAATCGTTAAACGTTTTTGGAGGGATGGAAAGTCATTTTCGTAATTTTCGTCATTTTCCCTCGCTTGACTGCATCGGAAGATTGTGGGAAGAGCAATTTTGCGTAATTTCGAGACACTTTACACAACACCTATCGAAACCATTGACGTGCTTTTCCAAGGATATGTTCAGAGGAGTGTGAAAAACGGTTTTAAGAAATGTGGAGACTTTTAAAGGTTAAAAGAGACATCTCAACGTTTTTTTCTTTGATTTAATTTAAATAGAAAAACTTTTAAGAATATTTATATAACCTAAATTGATTCAAGTGATTAAAATAAGTTGTTATTTAGAAAATATTTTTTAAAGTCAAAAACATAATAAATATTACCACGTTATTGAGTCTATTCGTTAATAATTGATGATATCGGTGATCGAAATGGTTCCAATTTTCCTTTAATAGTTGTATATTCTCCTAAAACATAGGGTTACAAGAAATATTTAAAAAATGTAGTACAAGAAAATACCTTGTTTTGAATCAATCTATCTTCCTCTTGAAGATATGGGTGAATAAGTTTGTCCATAAATGCAATAAATGATTGGAGGCCTAAAAATTATTACAAACAACTTTAGTATTATAAACAAACATATGGAATATATTGAAACATAAATAGACACACAGAAGATAAAAAAAGTATTATACAATCCAGTTTTGTTTATTAATACTTTGTTTATTTATTCATTTTGTTACAAAATTAAAATTAAATACACATATGATAACAATGAGCTATTAAATTTTCGGAACATCCACAAATGAGGCAATTATTAAAGTGCCAAAAAGTAGTATCGGAGACACAAACCAGTTTTTCATCTATGGTTACTAAAATTAAAACATGTTTTAAAAATATAAATTAAATGTATCACCAAATAAAAACTTACCGCGTATTGTAGGATCATAATGAACAGAATTATAACTTTGAGCTAATGAAAAACGCCAAAAAATCATTAAATAAATCAGAAATCTAGGTTTACCCATTTTATTTTCAAAGAATTTGTTGGAAAGTAACGTTTTTACACATTTTCTTAATCGCTTCCACAAAATCCTTATTATTTAAACATTCTTTTTATTTGCCATTGTTCTATTAAGTAGTATTTAATAATTAAAAAATTATTATTGAAGTAATGTATTTAGCACCCTCTATATATCAAAAATGTAATCTTTCACTTCTTATTGCAGTCACGATCTTTATAGAAAACTTTTTGATTCACTCAAAGATCAATAATTAAAAATTTATTTATAAAATCATAACTTTTTGAAAGTATCTTAATAATTCAAATATATAATTCAAAGTTTATTTTTATGATAATAAAGACTTCACTGTGTGGTGTTAGCAAGTCTTGCCTCAAGCACTTATATTGCACCGAACCCTATATTATTACCTATAATCGTCTACTTCAAGAACTGTGATATGCGGATGAAGTAGCACTGCTTGGAAGAATCAGAGCAGCGTTAGAGGAAGCCCTTGAATAATTAAAGGAAGGCGGAAAATACCTAGGAGTGCAAATAAATGAAAAGAAAACCAAATACATGATAATAGGACATAGATTGGAGGTAACAAATTTGGAATGGTGAACGAGTTTAAATATCTGTAGTGAAATAAAGGTCTAAACTTTTAACAAGGGGCTGTAGAAAACGCTGTAGAAAAGCCATGTAGTAAGTTATGGTACCACTCAACAATCTTCACCAAGAATTAAGCAGATTTGAAAAAAAGATCTTACTATGGGCCAAAATATGTTATAAACCTGGGAGAATAGAGACAATTAATTAACAACGAATTAAGAGAATTGCATGAAGGACCAGAACTATCAACATGGAATAAAGCCCAGAGGCTAAGCTGTATATTTAGATCCCTTTGAGTAAGTCTTATAAGCTTAATTCAAAGATTATCAAATACTAACAGTTTATGCAAAATTATTTGGATTTAACGAATTATATATTTTATTACTACGTGTGATCACTTAAAACAAGAAAATTAAAATAAGACAGGTTATGAAAAGGTAAAAGGTCAGACATTAAATATTTATTATAATTTTAGTCAACACAATCTTGGTACATAAATACATAAGAATCAAACATTTGTCGACTGAAAAAAGAAATTTTACTACTGTCACAAAAAGAAACTAATAATAATAAACAACACAGTTTATAAAATTCAAACTAAACTTTTAATTTACTCCAAGACGTCCATTATTTTAACGTCGAAATATTCAAAAACTCCACGTAGAGTTATCCATAAATAAAAAAATAAATAATAAAAACAACCGCAGTCATAATTATAAATTAAATACCTGTGTGCAAAATCTTCAAAAAAAAAAAAAACATTCGGGGGAGGCAAAAAAGGGGGTTCGATCATCTACTCTAATCACAGACACGAAAAAGACCTAACATCCGGTACAATTTTCGCTTACATAAACCGCGCGTCGTTAGATTTCTGATTCATCAGTCGATTACGCAGTGTACAAAACGTTTCGTTCCAATCAGACTATAAATCCTCTTAAAAACAACAAATCCGAAATAAAATTACTTCTACATCTCCCGGCCGTCGACGTAGAAATATTTCCATTTCGAAAAACCATCTTCGATTTTATATTTCCAAGAGATTCATTTTCCGTCGTTGGAATGATGCGAGTTAAAAAAAAAAAAATAATACCGAAAGGAGTGAGATCGCAATAAGTCTTCGAGTATTAAAACGTCTCCGCTCGCCCTAATAACCTACGCTCAATAGTACTATAAAAAGAAAAACATTTTTTTTATACCAGAATTAAAAATTACTTTAAAATCTTCTAATTGTAGTTGTACGAATCATTATTACCGTTCGCGTAGCCGTTCGTCCTAAATCGATTTTGCAAACCGTTGCCGTTTCCAAAACGATGGTGACTTCTTGGACCTGTATTTTCACGTCCTCGTGCGTTGTAACCCCATCGACTTTTTCCACCAAAACTACCAGAAAATCTATTTGCTATCTCTGTTAATTTCGGATTTATCATCTATTTAAAAAAGAAAAAACATTAATTAATTGATGTTAATAATAAAATTAATATTTATGATATATAAGATGTGTGAAATGTTGGAGAACTTGAGGATGGAATCCAGATTTTAATTTATGTGAACACCGAAGGCATATTCCCCAAATTTAATCTACCTCCCATTAGCATTCATGCTTCACTGATGTAACAAGGCGAAGGCATGCCAAATTTGAGAGGAAATTAATAGTTATAAAATAAGTCTGGTAGGCGACTTGTACCAGTACAAGTTAGAATATCTAAATGAGTACTGTAACAAGACCTACTGGACGTGTATCTATAACATTTTTGAACAGTATGAAGTTAAATAAAAATTTTCCACTTTACAGTAAGCAATTTTTCTTGCATGCAAGGTATCTTGCGGCAATATTTAGCGCGATTGGCTTTACATTTGGCAACTTTTAACTGCAATATTTCAGTTGCAATCAATGCTGCCAATACATATTTTTTGAAAAATTGAGGCACATGTACACAAACAAACCAACAAAACACGTTATGTCGTTATATTTTACAGTTGGCAACACAAAAAGTAACTAAAAAACTAACCATACTTTCAGCGCAAAAAATATATAGTTCATTTTTTTTCTATAATACCTGCCAAATTGTTGTAAAGTTGGCAAAATTAACAGGAAGTTTTGTTTTATCATGTTTTGAAATAAATATGTCACACTGACGTTTGAGCTTTCGTTATTCTAAAAGAAAAGGTGCATAAAAAATGTTGTGGGGTGTTTATTTGCAATTTATTTACCTAGAAAAGGTGTTTTATCTAATTCCATTATGAAAATTAAATTTTATCTAATTCCATTATGAAAATTCAATTTTACATGTCTATCTGACGTTTTGTAACGTCACTTTTTTTGTAACTAGTGATGAAATGATTTCATTACATCACTAGTGATGAAATGATTTCATTACATCACTAGTGATGTAATGAATTCCATAACCTAACTACAAACTGACATCTGTCACTAATACAATAGTCAAGTTTTGAACAAAAATTGCTTTTTCAATGGAATTAGATAAAGTTTTGTTCTTAAGACGTCATGAAACGGCTAATTTTGTTTAACTTACGTAATTTTACTATTACGTTCGTCAAACAAAATTAGTCTTTTCATAACTGGCTACGTAAATAACTATTACATGTCTATCTGACGTTTTGTAAAGTCACTTTTTTTATAACTAGTGATGTAATGATTTCATTACATCACTACTATCCGTGCAAAAAGTCAAGGCCCCTCACTTTAAAGATCGATATCTTCGTAACCGCTCGATGGAAAAAATTGCGATAAAGTTTATTGAAATCAGTGAACATTTCTACGTAACATATGTATGTTAATTTGAAATTTTTTTTATCGCGTGTTAAATGAAAAGTACCCGATTTTTGAGAGTGCCAGCAGCAACTTTGTCTACTTAGCGATTTTTTTTCTCCAAAACTATTTGATATTCCATATAGTTTCGCGGAAAATCGCGATTTAGTAGGATACGGTTATTTCGAAAACGACCTGACGGATTTCAACGCGATTTTCACCAAAATATGTCAAATAATGTCCGTTCTCGGATTCCGTTATCAGTTTTTCAAAATTAGGGCTCCCTAATTTTTTAAGAGCGATTTATTAAAGAGAAACAGAAATAAGCTATGCGGGGAGAGGAGGGTTCCGTTAAATCGGAACAGATGGTGTGTCCCAGACAGTACGTCGCGCCTTTATTTTACCTACATAAAGAAATAATGCGCGACGTCCTGTCTGGAACGCACAAAAAATCGCAAAGTACACAAAGTTGCTGGCCCTCTCAAAAAGCGGGTACTTTTTTCACTTAACTCGAGATATAAGAAAAACCGCCTACCCGAAAATTTCCAAATTAACATGTTATACGCAGAAATGTTCACTGATTACAGCAAACTTTGTCGCAATCTTTTTTATCGAGCGGTTGCGAAGATATCGATCTCTAAAGTGAGGGGCCTTGACTTTTTGCACGGATAGTAGTGATGTAATGAATTCCATAACCTAACAACAAATTAATAAATTGACATTAATAGAATAAGTCAAATTTTGAACAAAAATTGCTTTTTCAAAGGAATTAGATAAAATTTTGTACTTAACAGGTCATGAAACGGCTAATTTTGTTTAACTCACGTAATTTGCAAAACTAACAACTATTACATTCGTCAAACAAAATTTGTCTTTTCATAACTGGTTATGTAAATAACTATTGTTCGATTTAATTACTTTGTAGCACGTTTTTACAACAAATATGTACTTCGTTAAAATCGTATTTATCTAAAAATTTATTAGTATTTTAACCTCAACTATTTAGTTACTGAAAATGTTACTAAAAATCGGGAAAACAACATAAATTTTATAAGGGTCTTAGATAATACCAACAGAAACCCTGAAAAATTTACATTGACAAGTATTATAGAATAAAAAACGAACTATATGTCCAAACCTATCATCGGCAAGAATATCAAAAAGAACGCATCATTTGCGCATGCGTGCAAGATAAATTACCGCAATATTTTTTGCTGGTAATAAAACTTGCGAACTGTAAAGTGGCCTTTAGAAATAATTCCAATTTATAAATTACCTGATTGGCTTCTTGTAAAACTGACACTAAATCCCTAGCTTGTTTATAATTATTGGGTGTGAAAAACGCATAAGAAGTCCCTGTTGTATCTGAACGTCCCGTTCTTCCTATCCTATGGATATAATCCTCTGACGAATTTGGATAATCAAAGTTGATCACATATTTAATTCCTTCAACATCTAATCGCAAGAATAAAAAGAAAAAACATATAAAAATCAACAACTTGTTAAAAATTCAAAGTTAGTAAAAGCATTTTTTCAATATTTTTTTTGTTCGCTTATTTGTAAAATATGGTTAGAAAACATGCATTATTTTGATTCTTTCCAATAAAAATAAAAAAATCTTAAAAAATTTGCTTTTTTTTAAATTGAAATAAAAATATATTAATTTAACGTATTAAAAAAAAAGTACTGGATACTAACCATTGCGCTCGAGAACTCACAGAATCCACAAGGCGCTTGGCTTATGTATCAACAAAACGGTAGAAGAGCTATAATAGCATCGACAGACAGGTGCGGAGCTTAGCGGGGGGCGCAGAAGATCCTCACAGTAATAAATTGTTGAATCCACTGCGATTTCCGACCGAACGCCGAAGACCAATTATTTTGTCACAATAAAAATAAAATAAAGCACAAAAAAAAAGATTTCATTGAAAAATGGACAGAAAGGATAAATAAGGATTTTTTTTGGGACACAATTGATAATCTTCAGCATCGGTCTTCATAAACCTGCGACAACAAATCGCAGCCCTCCGCAACTTTTACACGTTTTTTTTTTTTAATCACTTTTTTTTGACTGTGTATTTCTGTATTTGTGCAATTGAGACACCGCAAGACAAGACTAAATTGCCAACCGTTCAAGGCGACAAAATAGAGAGGCGTTTAGCTTTCATTATTTACTGTTATACAGTAAATCTTTTTAATCAGTTTTTTTTTGGGCTAAATTCGCTCATCATCCTGCACGTGCCTCTGAAACAAAAAGGATAAACCAGACTGTTTAGTTTTTCGTAGAAAAGATATTGGAATGGGGAAATTTGTTTATATTTTAGTTATTTTTTAAAAAACAGCACATCTACACTACCCACAACCCAACCCAATTATTACATGATAAAAAATGATTAAATAAACTTAAAAGAAATTAAATGAATAAATATCCACTAAAATTAAAGCTTTCTAGAGAAACGGTAAAGAAATGATGCTGATTTAATGATAATGATTTATCAAAGATTATATGAACTTAGATTTATTAAGACTTGATTATTTAAGAAATTAATCCATCCCATCACCACAAAGAAAAAAGATAACAAAAAAGCACAAAAACCAAAAGTCTTTAAAAAAGTAAAAATTTACCTATTAAAAAAAGTTAGTGTTAAATGCACCATTTTAAGATTAACAATTAAATGATTTCCAATTAAAAAGCCAGTCTGAGAAATCCCGTATAATGCTACTATAAGCCTTTTTTCTTTTTTTAACATTTTAAAAACAAAAAAAAGGACGCGCAATAACACAATTAAATGATTTTTTTGAATCATAATTTTTGTAATTAAATTAACAGCTTACCTAATCCTCTAGCAGCTACATCTGTAGCCACCAAAATATTTGACCTTCCATTACGGAATTCACGAAGTACATAGTCCCGCTCTTGTTGGCTTTTATCGCCATGCATACAAACAGCGGGCCACTTGTATCTTCGTATATTCCGCGTAATATCTTCGACTTTCTTCTTAGTTTCAACAAAAATAATCGTTTTTGCTCCATATTCGCCATTTTCATTAATTTCTTGGAGGAGATTATTTAATCTTAAACAAATGTCAATTATAAAAATGTGCTTTTGGGTTATTATTAATAGATTAAATTATAGTTTTAGATAAATATCAGGTCTTCTTAGAGGTTAGGTGTGGTTATTAAAGTATAATCACAGAATATTTCATTTAATTTTCTCATCATTGGTAATGTGGGGGCGTAGAGAGATGTCGAAATACAATTTTTAAAAGAAAAATGAATTTAACGCTTAAATTAACCCTCTGGCGAGCGCGCAGCAGCACTTTGTCCATTTTGATGTGGTATTATAAAAAATATGGTTAGTCGCAACCCATTAGGCACCTTAAGTATGTCTAGTTGGCTATCTTCCAATATAAAAATAAATGTATGCTCTCTGTGATAGCAAGACCTATTCTATACTTGGATATTAGAGATATATTGTGGAATACAACGCGATGGACCTTACAAGACATCCAATAAATCGTTCGACATAGTCCAGAGGTTAATTATTATACTAGCTATCCTTTGGCTGTTTATCTTCTGGAAAATGGTCTTACATTGATTGGTTGAAGAAAAAATCAAAAAAGGAATTCCTCCTGAGTTTTTTCCAAATAAATCGCGTACTGTGGGAACTACTCTATTTGGGTTTCAAGAAGATATGACCATTGTTTCCTATGTATCCAAAAATAATAAAGCTGTAATTTTACTTTCTACAATGGACGACACAGATTAAGTTGACAAAAAACCAGAAATAATCCCATCTTGCACAAAAAGTGGTGTAGAAACTGTTGACTAGAAGTGTGCGTTTTATACTACTCAAATAGTTACTACTAGAAGGTGGCCTCTTGCAATTTTTTTTCGAATCCTAGATATTGCAGGAATAAATTCTACAATAATTATATTCAATAATACAAGACCACTAGAGAAACCCCCTAGACAAAGGAAATTTTTAAATGAACTGGGGTTGGCTTTTATGGAAGAACATGAGCCAAAATTCTTCTGAAAGACACTTCTGAAAGTTTTGGTAGAATTTCTCTCCCAATATCGAGAGATATAGTTTCCAATATTTCTGGTGGTTTTTATGACTTAATTGCAGTCATATAACGAACAAAGACGGGGTTTTGTAAACAAGTAGTTTAAAAATCCCAAATTCTGGCGTGAGTTGTTCAGGTCCGCATTATCGGAAATTACAAAAACATAATATTTAAAAATTTAAATACCATTACTTTGTGTGAAAATACAACAAATTCATTTAAAATTTGTATTTTTCAAATGTAAACAAAAATTAGTACTCTAAATACTGTTTAAGTGCTTTTTTTTAGAGTCTAAACAATTAATACCCTGTTGTTTAAGTGTTTTTTACTATACAGGGTTTCCCAAAAGTAACGGATAAATTCGTTAAAACAATTAAGAATAGTTTATGGAAAAATCGCTGAGACGGGTCTAAAGATTTAAATTTTTTGCAATTGTTTGGTATAGATTTTTAAATTTTCCGCCATTTTTAAGCGAGTAATGACGTCATCAATATTTTTTTCAAATAGCAATACCCCATTTCTATTACGGAATGTGAAAGAGCACTTTTTTCTGAATCTAGTACAGTCAATATTAATATTGGTTACACACCTTAAAGCTACTTAAAGTTTCATGATTTCCCTTTCATTTGAGATAGAAAAATAGCAGTAGGCATGCGTAACCATAGCAACCAACTGTATCAGATATACAACTGGTTGACATGGATACGTATGGCTATTGCTATTTTTCTACCTAAAATGAATGGAAAATCATGATTAACTGTAAGGCAATTTTTCTCGAAAATTTTCTTATGTAACTAATATTAATTTTGGCTGCATTAAATTCAGAAAATAGTCCTCTTTCATATTCCGTATTAAAAATGGGGAATTGGTATTTGAAAAAAATAGCGATAACATCATAACCGGCTTAATAGAAAATTTAAATCCTCAGACCCGTCTTAACGATTTTTCTATAAACCGTTTTAATTGTTTTAACGAATTTATCTGTTACTTTTGGGAAGCATTGTATATATATATATATTTTTTAGACGTAATTTAAAGTACAATAAAAAAGAAGGGGACCTAGTTTGCTAGGAGGGCCTATCACAAATCGCGTCCAGGTACTTTTTCATGGTGATAATTACTGCCACTATTGTTTCTGAGGGCCATAAAAACCACCAGAAATATCTGACACTATACCCTTAGCAGTAAACCAAAATCGAAGTAGTAGGTGCCAACTTGATAATGTCCATAAAAAGAATAAAACTACCGTTACTTGTAGTACATGTCATCAATTTGTTTGCAAAAATCACTCGAAAAAACTGTACTTTGCGCTACTTGCTGATAAAGTTGTCAAAAAGAAGAAGACTGATTGAAGACTGTTTTTGCAAAAATAAATGTTTATTGTTTTGTTATTAATAAATGTTTAATTTTTCACTTATTTTTCCACTTATTTGTTCCTGGCAATAATTATTGTGTCCATTTATCAAATGGAAGAAGACAGATTTTTGTATTGCAATTTTGTTTTAACACATGTTTTTGTTAAAATAAATGATTAGTTGATGTTTTGATACCAAAAAATTTTTATTTTATCACTTAATTTGCCATTTTTCTCTTAGGCATGAAGTGATATATATTATGAATGCATATTATAAAACGCGCTTGCCAAAGGGTTAAACACCATTAAATGATTCACTTGGTCACAGTTGTAAAACCAGACGTCATAATAAGTATTGCTCATGATGCTTTACTTAGTAAATAATAGTGAATGAACAAAATGTCTGAAATTAATTGCATCATAATGAAAAAAAAAACTTGAATACAGACTTATTATACTTATAAATAATATTACTTACTTCATTTCTTTTTCATGTTCTTGACAAACATCAACAATTTGTAAAATATTATGATTGGCAGATAATTGTAAAGATCCAATATTAATCATAACATATTCATCCAAAAAATCAGAAGATAATTTTCTAACTTCTTTTGGCCACGTAGCTGACCACATCAACGTTTGTCTATCAGGTCGTATTTGTTCAATAATCTTACGAATTTGGGGTTCAAAACCCATATCGAGCATACGATCAGCTTCATCTAAAACCAGATATGTACACCGCCTTAAATTGGTCGTTCCGCGTTCGAGGAAATCAATCAAACGTCCTGGCGTTGCGATAACAATCTCAACACCGCGCTCGAGATCTCTCGCTTGCGGCCCTTTCGGGGCACCACCAAAAACGCAGGTGTTCCTGATGTACGAAGATGACCCAAACACGTTTGCGACTTGTTGAATTTGTTGCGCAAGTTCTCTGGTTGGGGCTAAAACCAATACAATTGGACCTTCGCCTCTTTCAACTTGTGGTTGGTTGTTAATGTGAACGATTGCTGGTAAAATATAAGCTAATGTTTTTCCTGACCCGGTTTGAGCTATTCCAACCATGTTTCTGCCACTCATAGCAATCGGCCAACCTTGGGCTTGAATTGCTGTTGGAGAATCATAACCCTGCTTTTCAATACTACCCATAACATAATCAGGAAAATTTCCTTCTTCAAAATTTTGAATAGGATTCGGAGCATCCCCTTCAACAGTGATCTGTTTCGATTGTCTGTATTGTTCTACTTCATAAGAGGACCGATTAACGACATTTGCGTGAGCTACGTAAAAGTTTTTCTTAAACGGACGTAAATCTTTCATGTCCCATTCGGGTTTACGGAGACGATTGCCTTGAAAACTTGATGATTTTGAAAATCGCGATCCGCCTTGATTATTATTACGAAACTTATTATTGTTGCTACTACTGTTACCGCCGTTGGAGTAACTATTTCCATCACCGCCGCATCGAAACGAATTGCCGTTACGTCCTCTGAAGGAGTTACCGTTATTTTTTGCATAAGACCTATTTAAATAAATCAAAATTAATAAATAAACAACAACAAAAAAGTATAATTCAAGAATCATCATGTCGCTTAAACATTTTTTTTTATTGGCGGGGAATTCCTTCAGTTAGGCGTTTCCAATTAAAAACAAATGTGTGGCAAAATCACTTTTCAAGAAAAAGTGACGTCATCGACCCTGCTAACTATATATTTTCATAGCACATTTGGTTAAAACGCATATTTTCGGGTGAAATACAGTTGTTTCTTAGGTTTTCGACGCACAACGATTAAAATGTCGTTTATCATCTATAAACTAAAGATAATTTAAAATATATACCTGATTCCGATTAAACGTTACATTCGGATCCACCTAATTTACTGATTTATTTCAGAATTTTGTGTAGAAATTCTATTTAAAGTTAGGTCTGAAGACACACGGCTAAACTCGATACTTTCTAGTTCTAGTTTTACATTAGTACCATCACTAGAACTCATCACAATACCTAGAACTAGAATCATTCGGGTTTAGCCGTCTTTAGAGACGTGCGGCTAAACCCAAATGATTCTAGTTTTCGATTTAGTTTTGCACCAGAACTAACACAACACCTAGAAGTAGAATCATTCGGGTTTAGCCGTCTTCAGGGACAACCTTTAGGCTAAGTTTCCACATGCACGAATTACTGGCGCCAGTAAGAAGCCAGTTTAGTGGCGGCAAAAGTAGTTTCCACATAAATGTTATAATTGTGTACTGGCACAGTAATAAAAATGGCGTCAAATGATATACTTTGCGCTGGCATCAATATGATATCAATTGAAAGAGAAGAAAAACAAAATCCAGGTTTTTGGCCTTAAAAGATGAATCGTACGAAAATTAATTATTTTTATATGTTCACGTGTTTCATCTTGAAGTCATCTTCGGGCACAACGTCAATTAATTGGACCACATGGTAAAAAAATGAGAATTGATGCAAAAACATTAAATTATCTGATAAAAACATTTCTTCAAAACCGCATTGTGAAAATTGAGGTTAAATTTTGCGGTTACGAAGCGTATTAACGTATTAAATATTTTAAGGCCAAAAACGATTGAAAATATTTAAATAATGAGAACAATTACCATTTATAATGAAGATAAAATACTAAATTTTGAAATAATAGGCCGAAAAATAGAAAAAAATTGAAAAACTTTCAAACTTAAACTTAATGAGACGTCGACATCTTTGTTTTCTTTCTCTTCCAATTGATATCTATACGATGAATTTGAAGAAAGAACTAACAACATCAATATGGTAGTTCAAATGTGCTCCTTGGAACTGCACACGTTATTAACAAAAAAAGCTAGTACTTTAATTAGAGAATTATGCCATGAAGATCAGCAACAATTTTTTTAAACATTTAAGAATGCCATTAGAGCTCACGTAAAACTACAAGCAACTTTAAAATTTTTGGCTTGTAAAGATTCTTCTACATCCTTGCAATATATGTATCATTTGCCAAAAAGCACAATTTCTAAATTTATATGTGTAGTGCTCTATGGTGAAGTACTTTGCGTATACAACTTCGTATTTTTGCTTTTACAGAGGTTTCATCAAAATTAGGAAGTTTTCTTTATAATTTCAACTTCTGACAGCTTTATTTCCTGCTAGTAGGTCCTTATATTGAGGAATTTTCTGATTCGACAAACAAGGATATTGTTCATATGTTTCTAGAAATAGTACTGTTTGTTCTGATGTCCATTTTTTGGACGATTTATTAGCGGATTTGTTCATTTTAGTTGGACAAACACGTTAATAGTTACACGTTTTCTTTATAAATACTGTTACTGGCCCCAAAAAGTAGAAGTAGCGTCAACTTTATTGGAACTAACACAAGACCTAGAACTAGAATCATTCGGGTTTAGCCGTCTTGAGAGACGTGGGGCTAAATCCGAATGTTTCTAGTTTTCGGTCTAGTGTTAGTTCTAGTTTTGCACTAGAACTAACACAAGATCTAGAACTAGAATCATTCGGGTTTAGCCGTCTTGAGAGACGTGGGGCTAAATCCGAATGTTTCTAGTGTCTATCTAACAATATAGTTATGCATTGAAAGCCTAAGAAAAACAAAGATGTTTCATCCGTAAATATACGTTGTAATTTCATCTAGTTTAGTGCAAAATAACTTTACTTTTAAGGTTATTAGTTTGATTTTGTGCGTGGCTATAAAATAAACAATTTGTAAGTTAGGTATTGACCGATTTAATACGAAAATGCATGGTTAGCATTGCTTTGCTTGTGACGTCACAAAATGTGATGACTCATTAAAAATTTAATGTGATTTTTCGGTATGTTCTACACTTTTCCGCACTTTTTATTTATTTTAAACGTGTTTTTTGGGTCATTTCACATTGTTTAAAAAAAATCGTCGATTTTAAGCCACATGATAAATCTTGAATTTTTCCAAAAAAAAAACTAATTTTGTACATGCATTTGAGTTAATGATTAAATTTAATTCATCTTTATGAAAGAAACTGGTATAAATGATCGATTTTGCGATATGCTTGAAAATATAGCGATATAATATCAAACAATGCAATGGTTTTAATGTAGCAGATGCAACCCGAAAAGAGAATACACGTTTTAACGCGCATCTACGTCAGCAAACATAAATCAATAAAATGCATTTTACCGCAAAGCTATCACGGAAATGAAATAAATAAAATGTGCAATCTAACCTAGACCTTAAAATGTGATACTTACATAATAAAAGGACGTTGATGACCTTCTATTCTACCGATAATTTCAGATTTAAAAGCTAACGGGTCTCCCAATGGCGATTTTCTGAAAATTTAGTTATTTAGTTTTAAAATAAAAAAGGGGATTTATAATAAATAAATAATGATTGACAAATAAACAAATTGTCATAAGAAAACGAAATAACCGATTTAATTATGAAAATGGTAAATTATAACAAGCTCAATGTGGGAATAAAAAGCTACACCAAACGCCCATCAACTTACCTCAACGAGTATCTTCGGAAAACTGACTAATTTTAGCTGGCCGTGTCCAATAGACCGGCCGGTAACAAAACGGAAACGCGTGAAGATGGGTAAGTGAAGGGAGTCGGTAATATGGCGGGCAATTCAAAATATTCTTTCTACTTTTTTTTTTTAATTGATTCTTTCGATTTACTTTTAGTATATGTACGTACTTTGATTGGAGAACGTCACAAACTAAACATTATTATGATTTTTTTTTGAATTTCGTTTCTATATAAATAAAATAAATAAAGAGAGAATAAATTCAAATGTTTTCCAAAAGTCAATTAACAAATATCAAAGTTTTAAGCGCCATCTCTTGTTTACTAAATCAATTATATCATAAATTATACAACAATATTCACAGTTTTAAACAAAGATTTAAAAAAAATCGTTATTACAGTGTAAATGTGTTATTTGTACAATTTCGTTGACATATTTAACCAAAATTGTAACGTGTAAGAGTATATACACACATTAAGACGTTCTAAAAATTTAGAAATCGCCTCATAGATGGCACTGTTTAAATTAAAATTTATTATTTTTTGCGATATAAGATGTAAAAAATTTCGTCTGGGTTTTCTGCTATTAAAAAGATATCCCGATTGGTAATCAGATTCATTAATTTTCAAATTTAATAGTTTTGTTTTAAAATATCAATTAAACCGTAAAAGAATATTAGGTAAGATTACTTTTTTTTTCAGATGTCAATTAAACCGTCAAAAAATGTTAGGTAAGATTAGTTTTCATTTTAAATGTCAATTACTCCAGGAAAGAATGAGAATATACTTTCAAAGCTTAATACCCATTTTAGTGGAGACAATTTCGAATGGTTTGTGTACTTAGCGGAAGGTCACACAGTACATAATACAGAGAGCTGTAGTTAGAGGTTGTTCACAAGGTGAAGTACTCTCACCGTTTCTCTGGTGCAAACATCTCTTCACGCTCGTTTCCGTTTAAATTTTATTTATATTAATTATTAAATTAATAAAATAAGAAAAAAAAACACTTTATCAATTTTATTTAAGCGCCATCTCTTATCTATTTAACAAATTACATATCAAACATTGCAAGGTTAGCATGTTCATAATAGTTTAAAAATTTAAAACGATGTGTAGCTGAAACGTTTTTCAAAATACGATTACGTGGAGATACAGTTCGATATGGACGAGGCTCCGGCGAACAAGCAGTTCAAAATGTGGGCCCCCATTGTCGTTAACGCTATGATCTCCGTTTTCGCTTATGTGACCACTGTTAGATTAATTCCTAAACTTAGAGACATGTTTATTAAAGCAAATCTTTTCGGAATTGATATGAGCAAAAGAACCGGAGATAAAATGTAAGTTATCTTAAGAAAAAAATTTTAAACATTAAATTACATAACCTCACTTTTTTGAAATATTTTTTTTTGCGATGAAATTATTAATTTAATGTATTTTGATTTATTAGTTGTCTTATTTAAGTTATCAAATTGTTATTGAGATTAATTAATTCATTATTAAATACATAACCTCACTTTTTGAGCTGTCATAATTTTTTTTAGGTTATGTGTAAATTTGTACTAATTATTTTTAATTTATTTTTTAGACCGGAAGCTCTAGGAGTAGTCTCAGGATGTATGTTTCTAATAAGTCTTTTTTTATTCATCCCGGTACCTTTCAGTCATTCGTTATTTAACGGCCAATTTCCGCATGATGAAGTATACTTTTTAAATTACCATGTTTTATCAATTTAACAGTGTTGTTAGTTTGTAGAGTTAATAGCTGCGATGTTATCAATATGCTGTATGTTGCTCCTTGGGTTTGCTGATGATGTCTTAGATTTACGATGGAGACACAAATTGTTGTTACCAACGATTGCTTCTTTACCTCTTTTAATGGTTTACTATGTAAATGTGAACTCAACTACTATAATGATACCAAAGCCTTTAAGGGAAATGTTTGGGACTGTAGTAAATTTAGGATTTTTATACTATGTTTATATGGGGATGTTGGCTGTTTTTTGTACTAATGCTATAAATATATTGGCTGGAATTAATGGATTGGAGGTTGGACAAAGCATTGTGATTGCCGGATCGATTGTTGCATTTAATTTTTTGGAGCTGCAAGGGGATTTGTGGAAATCACATCAATTTAGTTTGTTTTTTATGATGCCTTATTTAGGAACTTCCTTGGCATTGCTAAAACATAATTGGTAAGTAAAAAGAAAACGGTTTATTTTAATCAATCTTTATTTAATAAACATTATAACACAATCACAAAGGAAAAACTATTATTCATTTCACAATGTTAATAAACATATCACAGAAGAAATATCATTTTTTTTCTAAGAATGATTGTGGACTTTGTGGTCAAGAAAATTCATTTATATAGTAACTTAGTAAGTGGTGTTCACTATAAAAAATATCTAGGTTATATCTAGGATCTGTTAGCAGTTTCTAATCTTCTGCAAGCGGTTAGAAGTTTTTTGTAAGCAGTTTCTAGTCTCCATTAGCAATATCTAAACTTCCGCAATCAGTTAGAAGTCTTCTATTAGGAGTATCTAATCTTTAGCATGTGCAATGAAAATTATTCAACTTTGTTTGATGAAGCCAAGGTCGTTTGCGACCAAGGCAGCGCAATAATTATTGTTCAATTCTATATTAATGTGTGATCCATTGTAGTGCCTCGGCTTGCTACACTATGATCATAACCGTAACATTGATCCAGCTAAGTCCATTACTGCCCCCTCCATGGTTTTCTCCACTTTCTGTATCCCAACCTAACACTCTTCATACCTATCTTACATTCCACCACAATACACTTTTCCTTACTTATCATACCAATCATATCGTCAGTCCAAAAAACACCAAGCAATGCGATTTCACACTTTCCACTATCTAACGTCACATCCCCTCTCTCCTATACATACTTCCTCAAGTACAGTTCCTGTACCAACAACTTCTCTTTCTTGCAACTTAAGCGGCCCATACACGATGACTCTTGCGGCGGTGCCGCCAGAGCTGCTGCAAGAGTCGTCGCATGCGGCGGAGCTTAACCGCTTACACACGTAGACTCTTGGGGCGTCGTGCCGCACTTCTTTAACCGCTATCGACGGACCTATACCAATGCATATCTGGCCAGACAAAAGCCAAGAAATTGGCTGCAGAATACCGATACTACTTGCAGAAGACTAAATACTTCCTATAAAGGACCAAAAATTCCTTGCAGAAGACAAATACTACCTATACAATACTAGAAACTGCTTAAAAAGATAGATATTGTCTATAGAAACCTAAGTACTGCTGCCAATAGACTACAAATTGGTTGCAGAATACCAATACTACCTGTAGAAAACTAAATACTGCCGGCAGAAGACTAAAAACTCTTTGCGGAAGATAAATACTACCTATACAATACTAGAAACTGTTTGCAGAAGATAGATATTGTCTATGGACGGCTAGGTACTGCTACCAATAGCCAAAGAATTGGTTCCAGAATACTAATACTGTTTGCAGAAGATTAAATACTTCCTATATAGGACCAAAAATTTCTTGCGGATGACAAATACTACCTATACAATACTAGAAACTGCTTAAAAAGATAGATATTGTTTATACAAAGCTAGATACTGCTACCAATAGACAACAAATTGGTTCCAGAATACTAATACTGCTTGTAGAAGATTAAATATTGCTGGCAGAAAGCCAAATATTGCTAGACAATTTTACAAGCTCATTTATGGCGGTAGTTAAATTACAACTGAGTATCACTGAAAACAGTAGATAAGAGCGAATTGAAAATGGACAACTACATGACATTGCACTGCTTAATGCAACGGCGGACTTAAAGATAGATATAAGACGATCATAAGTTTTGAGTCATCTACAAGATATTATTATTTTCATGTAACATTCTATACTTACATATACTTTTTGTTGATTTCAAATGATATCAACTTAGTGTTTATTTAAGAATATAAGTAAGTTGTAATGTACAGGGTGGGCAAATTTGGGTGTTATTATAGGCTATCTCAGAAACTATAAGAGAAACAAAAAAAATAGGTGCCATGTCCCGGTCTCTTTTTTCGAGACTAATCCAATCCCGCAAACACCAAACCTCTATCTCCTTTTCTTTTTAAGTTATAGCCAAAAAGTCAAATTTTCGTGATTTCAAAAAATGCTCATATTTCGTTTATTTTTGAAATTAGAGAAATGGGGTTGATACGTTCTTAAGACACTTTTTTATGTAGAATATACTGCCGTTGAAAAATTTTAAAAATATTTGATGATTTTTGAGATACAACACAAAGTTGTATTTTTTTAAATACAAACTATAGTAGATTATGGTGTTACTGAAAAGAGCATATTTTTAGCTTTCCAATGATGTATTGCACGCCAATGATGTATTGTTTGGGGAAAATAAGCGTTAATTTTCAATTCCAAAATAGTAAGCGCTAAAGTTCAAAATTTTGATTATAGTAGGCGAGTTCGGACAGTAATTACACTAATTACTATCTAATTGCTATATGCAAAACCATAATAGCTAAATAATAGCCAGCCTATAATAACACCCAAATTTGGCCACCCTGTACAATTTTCTGCAAAAAGTTAGATGTCTACTGTAAGAAATATCTAAGCTCTGACTAGAAGTATTTAGGTTCCCTTGAGTAGTATTTAGTTATGTGTTAGCAGTATCTAATCTTCTACAAGCAATTAGAAGCTTTTTGTAAGCAGTTTCTAGTCTCAATTAGCAATATCTAAATTTCCACCAGCAGTTAAAAGTCTTCTATTATCAGTATCTACTCTTCCTGCAATATCTAATCTTCTGCCAACATTTAGAAGCTTTTTGTAAGCAGTTTCTAGTCTCAATTAGCAATATCTAAACTTCCACCAGCAGTTAGAAGTCGTTTATTATTAGTATCTATTCTTGTTTTTTATGATGCTTTATTTAGGAACTTCCTTGGCATTGTTAAAACATAATTGGTAAATAAAACGAAAACGGTTTATTTTAATCAATCTTTATTTAATAAACATTATAACACAATCACAAAGGAAAAACTATTATTCGTTTACAATGTTAATAAACATATCACAGTTGTAGAAATATCATTTTTATAAGAGAATCCACGATTGTGGATTGTGTGGTCAAGAAAATTCATTTATGTAGTTATTTAATAAGTGGTGTTTTCTTGTAAAGTGCAGTCTTATAAAAGAAACAAGATTCCTGTCTCAAAATTACATTTTTTTTTATTGGTTTATTATTTTACTATACATGATTATCTGTCATTTAATATACATTGTTGTTTTATTATTTATTTTATCCATGCAAAGGCAATGTTAAGCATCAAAATTATTCGTAATAATCTATTTTAGAAAACATATTGACTAATAAAAAATCGAATTTCCACGAATTTTCGATAGCAAATTCAGGTGCAAAATAGTTTTCACGATTTCTGTGCGCTCTATTCAAATTGGTTTTGCCATCGATATAAACACCGTTTTCAATTAAATTTTCTATGTAATTATTATCGATAACGTGAACTTTATCCCAGGATATTGTGTCGTTGACTTTGGCCTTTAAATAATTGATAATAAGTAAAGGGTCGGTACAGTATTCGCAGAACCAACCCCCGTAATGGTTGAGATCGCCAATGATGAAATTTTTATTACTAAGATTTGAAAGCGTTTTATTGCTATTAAGGTATATCAAGTCGTCATTTAAGACCTCGTTTAAATAACGAACGGTAGACGCTCCCCCTGTTACAATCGTTTTCGATGGATGCGTCCAAAAGAAACCGTAAACGGAATATTTTAATCTGAAATTAATAGGTTCGGGCCAATCGTTGTAAAATTTAAAATAACCTATACCTAATTTATTAGGGATTTCATTAATTCCACTAGTTAATATAATATCATCCTCATCAATATTTGTTATTAATTTTTTAATAATTTTCCATAAATTATTTTTATCATTAATATTTAAATATAATATTTTATTAAGTTGTTTTTTAAGAAATCGTTTGGTATTTAAACGTTTTTCTAAATAATTCGAATTAATTTCGTATAACACGTATAAATCGACTACATCATCTAACTCATTAACGCGTATCTCAGTTAAAATTTCAGTGTACTCATTCGTTTCGCACACATAAATTACTCTACGGGCATGTTTTCTAGGACCTTTTATCGATAAAGCCTTTCGATATGCTAACAAACCTCTCCAAATCACCTCAGGTTGCCCACAATCCGTTCCATGCCATCCAGGTAAACACAAACATTTCCAATTAACATCATTAGAACGCCTCATTTCCTTTACATCCGTTCCATTCGTATAACACAAACTCGTATTAAAATCTGTATAACCAAGTCTTGTAGGCACTCTTTTTAGAGCAATCGACGAGTATTTGGTGTGATATGTAACGTTTGTTGTCCAAGTGAAATTTTTAAACCGTATAAATGTAACGGTGTCTTGAACAGGGACCACCTGATCTTTTTTTATTGAAAAATAATAGGTTATTACCAATAATTGCACGAAAACCGCCACCCATACGGATAATTTTCTCAAACGAAACCGAAAACTATGCATTTATAGATTTGTTGGATGTTATTTTCTTGTATTTCTTTCACATCATCTCACTTTTAGTCACATAACCTCACATTTTATTCGACTAATTCTTTCAGATTCGAAGGGCGTGGTCTTTTTGCGATTATTTTTGGTTCTAAGCTTTTATTCATTTTCTTTTTCAGGATTTTTTTTCGTTAAATACAACTTTAATTAGATTTGTGCCACCGCCCTATCTATTTTTATATCGCCATGTGCGTCTTTGGAGGTTGCTTTTCTGTCAGTTTTCGTTCACACATTCTATTTAATTACTATCAATTAAGTTTAAACTAATAATTTTGTTAATTTATTAAACGTTTCGTGATGGTACAATACTAAGAAATAAAATGTATTATTTTGGAAAGGTTAGGTTAGAAGGAAGGATTGAAATGGGGTTTAAAATGTCTTGGTGGGAGGGAACATCTTTTGACAGATAATCTATAAATGCATATATCACTTTAATTTTGAAAGTTTTCTAAATTTAGTTTATGTAGGGGTGTTTTCTAAATATTATTTCACAAATGATTTTATTTTTAATTATTTACCTATACAGGTGATTTATTAGCTCACCATCAAACTTTGACATATGATAGCTAACAAAAAAAAATTTTATGAACATACAGTTGCTCACAAAATTGAGTATACAGGGGAATGGAAGATAGATAATTGTGTATATTTCAAATAATAATTATTAATTTATTAAAGTTTGTGATATTGTAAAATTCACTAAAGAATCACCCCTTGAAGTTTGGTGCAGTCATTCAGATACACCTGTGTATATACAGGGTGTCCCGAAACTCAACGTCAAGCGGGCACCGGGTGAAAGGCCAACCCATACCTGTTCTGGTAAAAATAAGAAAAAAATTCTATGTCTCTTAGTTAAGTAGTAATAGACATATTTTTGAAAATGTTAAAAATCGTTCCCGTACATCATATCTTTAGGTACTACAGTCAGAAATGTTCGCAATTTAATAGTGATTTTTTTAATAATGTATTCCTCATGAACCATGCTACTATAGCAGTCACAAATCGAACAACAAAAGTCATTAGTTTTGCAAGAAAAAGTATGTTTGATTGAGTTAATTTTAGCCAAAATCGATTCTAAATTCATCGCTAATTAAATTTCCAATAAGGGACGATGAAATAATATATTTTTATTGTTTCAGTGCTACAATTGTTTCGAACGTAGAACGTTCTTCATCCGGCACGAATAAAAATACATTTTAGAGAAGAAAACGGCGTACGTAATGCTAACGACAGAACCTTGGACCTTATTCTTAGTAACTCCTATAACATCTCTGATTTTTCTCAAAGCCTTGATCCACTTTTGCACGCGGACACCCATCATCCTGCTTTAACTTTTTCAATTAAATTTAATTTATTGCATTCCCTCCGCGAAAACTGCTCGCGTAAATATCTTTTTCACAAGGCTAACTATACAGGTATCCGTACATCACTCGCGTCTGTAGACTGGGGTGCGGCTATTAGTCACTTACCAGTTGACGAGGCGCTTGAAGTGTTTTATTCAGTTGTTCGCGGAGCAGTTGCTGAATTTATTCCTCACAAAATTACTTTTAAATGCAGATTTCCTAACTGGTATTCCCTGCCAACGATCAAGGCCATTAAGGAAAAATTAAAATTTCACAAAAAATGGAAGACTACAGGTAATCGCCTTCACTATGAAACCTTTCGTCTGCTCCGTACTCGGTCTAAAACTTTAATTGCAGCTGATTATAAGCTATACTTAGAGGCTACACAGACTAGCTTGTCCGATAATCCTAACAGTCTGTGGTCTTTTATTAAATCGAGGAAAAAAGGCAGCATGAGTATTCCCAGCAAGATGTCGTATGGTGATCGAGTGGTTGAGGGTGGGGAGGAAATTTGCAAACTGTTTGTTGACTATTTTAGTTCTGTCTTTGTTGATGGAACTTTAGTTGATGTACGCGACTGCTCTTCTTCGGAAATCGCACCTTGGTTCTCACGTGATGATATTCTACAGGCGTTGTCACTTGTGAATCCTAGAGCGGGTGCGGGTCCGGACGGCCTACCAGGCGTGCTTTTTCGTGAGTGTGCATCAGTGCTTACTGAACCACTTTTTTACATTTTCAATACTTCTCTGCGANTTAGGTTATACGAAAATGTAAGTTTTATTTCAACTTTTTTTTTCTCTATATTTTTCCAATCCAACCCAACAATTATTATACATCATTTTAAAGAGAAAGCTTTGAGCTTTAATTTAAAATAAAATTCATTCCTTAATTTCAATAAATACGGCTTCCAGAAATTTTTAAATTAGCATCTTTTTCGACATTTTTAGGTTATGCTACATTAAGCTAGAAAAACCAAATTTGGTATACGTTATGAGCGTACCAAGAGTATTAATTGGTAGCAAATTGAACTCAATTGTGGCGTTTCAAAGGGTTGATTAAGGGTAATGGTATCCTAAATTTTGACAGATTTTTTTAACCTTTTGGCGGATTTAATACATTACTACTTCACTTCATGTGGAAATTAATTTTAAAACTTTTCTTACTCTTATTATTTTTTAAAAAACTTTGTCGTTTTCATAAAAAACTTTAATTAGAATTTACCCTCGAAAAAGAAATTAACAATAGTATCAATTTTCTTGACTTAACAATCACCAAAAACACATCTAATTCTTCTCTTCCCTTTAATATTTTCCGGAAACCCACTACTACTGACACAATAATCCCCAAAAATTCTTTCACTCCTTTCAAATATAAAGAAGCAGCGTTCAGATTCTTCTACCATAGAGCCATTAACACACCCCTTAACACTGATAATTTTAACTCAGAAATCTTTAATATTATAAAAATAGGTCTGAATAACGGCTATAATAAAAGATTTACAAAACATTTTCTACAAAGTACATAATAATAAAATCCTTTCATTCATTTATCCTCACTTTAAACCCCCACCTAAATATATTCCTATTTCAAATTGTGATTAATCAACTACATTCCTTAACCAAGAAACACAACATAAACCAAAAACACGACCAAAACTTCCAATTTACTCACCAAAGAAATCCAAATAATCCTCCAATAAACACAAATTTCATTTTTATTTACTGAATGAGGTTTACAAAATAACATGTAATGACTGCAATACAATTTACATTGGTCAAACAGGTAGAATATACCTATAAAATATACCGTCACCTTTACCGTATCATTGTCGTTCCGTTTAGCCTTTGTTAATTTTATCCTTTTTCTCTTAAAACAGGTACTGAAGATGAAACATTTGTTTCGAAACATGTCTATTTATTGAAATAAATTAAGTATTTTGTTATTTCTCACAAAAAGTTTTTACTTTTTTCCATTTTTATTATGTTTTAATACGCTGTAGGCCCTCCATTGGCGTCAATTATCGTCTGCATTCGCCGTGCCATTGAGTCCACTAACTTTTTGGTGTAGTTTGGCGAGATTCTATCCCAAATTTTACAAATATTAATTAATTGGATTAGCTATCATATGTCAAAGTTTGATGGTGAGTTAATAAATCACCCTGTATAATTATCTCAATTGTCGTCTGATGACTCAATTCTAGTCTCAATTAGCAATATCTAAACTTCTGCAATTAGTTAGAGCAGTATCTAATCTTTTATAAGTATGTACTCTTCCAGCAGTATCTAATCTTGTGCAAGCAGTTGGGAGCTTTTTGTAAGCAGTTTCTAGTCTCCACTACCAATATCTAAACTTCTGCAATCAGTTAGAGGTCTTCTATTAGCAGTATCTAATGGTTGCATGTAGTTAGAGGTCTTCTATTACCAGTATCTACTCTTCCAGCAGTATCTAATCTTCTGCAAGCAGTTAGAAGCTTTTTGTAAGCAGTTTCTAGTCTCCACTACCAATATCTAAACTTCTGCAATCAGTTAGAGGTCTTCTATTAGCAGTATATAATCTTTTGCATGTAGTTAGAGGTCTTCTATTACCAGTATCTATTCTTTCAGCAGTATCTAATCTTCTGCAAACTGTTAGATGTTCACTGTAGAAAAATATCTAGGCTCTCACTAGCACTATTTAGGTTCCCTTTAATAGTATTTAATTATCTGTTAGCAGTATCTAATCTTTTGCATGTACATAGATAGATATCTTCTATTATCAGATTCGGTATTGTAGCAGTATCTAGTTGAACATTTGGTATCCTAAAGTATCATCATAACGAATAGCTGATGTAGGTAGTAGTGGTCGTTTTTTGCATTTCCTGTGTTTTTCTTTGTCAGTACTCGATAGTTGTCAACTACAAAGTCAGTTCTATCCATTTTTTATATGTATTATATATGATGGTACAATACTAAGAAATAAAATGTATTATTTTGGAAAGGTTAGGTTAGAAGTAAGGATTGAAATTAAGTTTAAAATACTTGGTGGACCGGAACATCTTGTGACAGATGATCTATAAATGCTTATATCACTTTAGTTTTGAAAGTTTTCTAAATTTAGTTTATGTAAGGGTGTTTTCTAAATACTATTTCACAAATTATGTTATTAACTAATTATTTATATAATTGTCTGTGAGGCAGTATATCTAATATCGCTGCTTAAGAAGAGACAGAATAAAATGTTTGAGTCAAATATGTTTAAAAAGCGTAGCTCCCCATTCTCGCTCGTAGTTCATTTGAGAAACCAACCTTAACACTTTGTATTTGTTCTGCAATCAGTTAGAAATCTTCTATTGGCAGTATCTAATCTTTTGCCTGTTGTTAAAAGTCTTCTATTACCAGTATGTACTCTTCCAACAGTATCTAATCTTCTGCAAACAGTTAGAAGCTTTTTGTAAGAAGTTTCTAGTCTCAATTAGCAATATCTAAACTTCCGCCATCAGTTATAAGTCGTCTTTTAGCAGTATCTAATCTTTTGCAAGCAGTTAGAAGCTTCTTGTAAGCAGTTTCTAGTCTCAATTAGCTATATCTACACTTCCACCAGCAATTAGAAGTCTTCTATTAGCAGTATCTAATCTTCTAGCAGTATCTAATCTTCTGGCAACACTTAGAAGCCTGTTGTAAGCAGTTTCTAGTCTCCATTAGCAGTATCTAATCTTCTGCAAGTAGTTTCTAGTCTCTATAAGCAATATCTAAATTTCCGCCATCAGTAAGAAATCTTCTATTAGCAGTATCTAATCTTTTGCATGTAAATAGATGTTTTCTATTATCAGATTCATTACTGTAGCAGTATCTAGTTGAACATTTGGTATCCTAAAGTATCATGATAACGAATTGCTGATGTCTCGTTTTTTTTTGTACATTGAGTAGCTTCTAACCATAAAGAATTATTACCAGGTCATACAAACATTTCAAACTTAAAAATACTTTCTCTTATTTCAAGTGAATTTGTTATTAACATTAAAATTATTTTTTTATTTTTTTTCAGGTACCCTTCGAAAGTATTTGTAGGAGATACTTTCTGTTACGTCTCAGGAATGACATTCGCCGTCGTAGGAATTTTAGGTCATTTCAGTAAAACGACACTTTTATTTTTCATTCCTCAAGTTATTAACTTCCTTTATTCAGTTCCTCAATTATTCCATTTGGTTCCATGTCCAAGACATCGCTTACCAAAGTTTAATTCCAGGACGGATAAATTAGAAATAAGCACAACCGCCTTCCGTTACTCCGATTTAAACATTTTAGGAAAAATCGTTGTAAAAACGTTCAAAACTTTGAAATTGATCAATTGGCAAGAAAAAGACGGTTACGTCGTTACGAATAATTTCACTTTAATCAACTTTATTTTGTTGCTTTTTGGGCCGTTACACGAAGAGAAATTGGCGAAGATTTTAATTGGGATTCAAATCGCTTGTTCTGGGATTGGGTTTCTTATTAGGTATCCTTTAGCCCATTTCTTTTATGACAATTAATTTTCTAGTCGATTTAAGAATGTGTTTAGAATAAGAATAAAGTGAGCTTTGTATGTTACCCGTTTTAATAAATAAATATTTTTATAAAGTATCTAGTAAACTTTATTTAACGTCAATTAAAAAAGTAATAAGACAAGTTAATAATTTTTTTAAATGGGCGAAGCAGGTGAAGGTGGAGAAGGGGCTGTGGAAATTTATCCTTATGGGGTTAGATTCACAACGAAAAATATGTTTGTTATAAAATAAATTTTTAGGAGTATGAAGGTGGTCGTGATGAAAATTTAGATCGACACGGATTTGGAAGTGCTTTATTACCTAACGGGGATATTTATGAAGGTAATTACCTTCATGGGAAACGCCATGGAAAAGGGATGTATTGTTTTAGAAACGGGGCTCGTTATGATGGTGAATGGCGTAAAGGATTAAAACATGGTTGTGGGGAATTTTTGTATCCAGATGGAACGCGTTATGTTGGGGAATGGAAAAAAGATTTTAAACACGGGCAAGGGGTTTATTATTTCATGAATGGGGACACTTACGAAGGTCCTTGGTATAAAGGATTAAGGCATGGACTTGGAACTTATACTTATAAAAAAGATAACATTCCCCATTATGGTTGTTTTAATCAATTTTATTAAAAACTTATTATTTTTTTTTTAATTTTAGGAATTTGGATTGAGGGTAGAATGACAGGGCCTGGGATAATAACATATCCAAATTATCAATACCATGGCAATTTTGAAAAAAATCTTCCCAAAGGCCCTGGTTGCTTTACTTTTGAATTAAAATGGATGCAACATGGGTTTTATATTAATATTAGGGATCCAGCTTTTGATTATGTAGGAGCTGAAGAATTAGCTCTTGAGGAAACTAAAGAGCCAGGTTTTTAATACAACATCTCACATTTCCTTTACGATTTAGATTTATTTCAGATCAAGAAGAATATCGCGGTAATCCACGTGGGATAGTCCCAATTTGGAGAGCCCGTTTAGTAACGACATATAAACCAGAGCTTTTACCACCAGAACCGCGCCCATTAAAGATAAAAGATTCTTTAGATTCGTTAATCGATATTATCGATTATCTTCAACAACAATATGCAGTAACTGGTGGTGAAGACGCAGTTAATTATGACCCTATTCAAGGCTTAGGAGATCCAGGAGTTGATCCAGCGGTTGCTCCAGCTACTTCTCCAACTGGAGATCCGAACGTTAAATAAATTCAAAAAAATGTTTTAAAATCATTTTTATTTTTTTGTACAATTACTTAATCCTATCATTTAATCCTAAAAATAAAAAAAAATACAATTTTATCTATTATTACTTGAAGTTAACATATTAATCAACGCAGCTTTTTCTTTCTCCTTCTTTCTAACGACGTCGACGCAACGATTTTTCCAACAACTTTTTCGTAGTTTTATCGGCCGGCTTCCAACGTAACGACCTAAAACGAAGAAATTGAATAATCAATAATTGAAAATTGGGTTTTGTGTTGATGTTTTTAACGTATTCTATTATTCCGAACGTTGTACAAGTGTACAAAACCATAAGGTGGCAGTTACTACACCAAAACAACGATAAAATTCGTAGTTCCTAGTCGTTAAAGATTTTATTGTTCGTAGTAAAAAAAAGTAGTTCCGAGACGCAACAACTCGAAGTTTATGATATTTTCAAATCATTTTTATAACCATAATGTCAAGGTCAAATTAATCTTAAATTAATAGAAAATAGGTAGTACAATTTACTATAAAATTAAATCAATTTGAAATTGTCTCAAAGAAGTCCATTGGAGTAGTCGCTTGGTAAAGGTGGGATTGGCAAATTTGTTTTTATTCTACTTGATACGCCATCTGTTAGTTCAAATATTAATTTGGTCTAATAGTCTGCTGTATCATCAGCAAACAAATAGTATCAAGTTGAGGAACGCAATTTTAATATAATAAGTAAAGGACCTAGGTATTACCCTAAGGTACTATTTTCTTCTAGGTCCAAGATTCGGAATAGATAAGGTATTAAATTTGGTACCACAACATTCTATGTAACTAAGTGAGCATAGAAGGTTGGAGAGGAACGTGATAATATTCGCAAAGTATTTTCTGAAAAAGAAGAACTCTAGTTAGTAGACTATTATATACAAGACGTCAAGATAGCTCAAAGAACCTGAGGATCTAATTGATAGACAGTGTCGATATCGTTAAGTTAATCAAAAATAGGATAAATGAGCGATGAGAGGACAACAAAGAGACTTGTAAATTGGAGACCAGAGGGTTAGAAGAGCCAAGTGATACTTGATTCCTCAGTCAAGAAGTTAAATAAGTGTATTTTTGCAACTAGAAATCTGATAAATATCCTAAGCCTAATGATTCTATGTTAGCCATTCTGTTTCAAATGCAAAGATGTTGAGAGTCATGACTGGTTGCGCTTTGCCAAATTCTATTCATTCTTCAATGAAGAACACAACTTTAATATAGTAAGTAGAGTAGTGGGTCTAGGTATTACCCTAATTTACCATTTTCTTTTAGGGACTCTCCGATTCCTGGATTAGAATTGCTAGAAACTCCAAAAATAGCTCAAAAACAAATAAATCTTGATGATGAAAAAATGTGTCTTATTTTCAATACTATTGATCAAATTGTGTCTAAAACTACGCGGAGTTTCCTATCTTGGGTTGAATCTAATACTCTTGCGGTGAATGCGTTCAAGATTGAATCATTGATGTTTGTTCTATAGGAAATTCCACCAAATCTCACTCAGCCGGTTAAGTATCTGGAAGTAATACTTGATTCCTTCGTCAAGAAGTTAAACAAGTGAATTTTTGCAATTCTATGTTAGCCATTCTGTTTCGAATGCAGAAATGTTTGAGAGTCATGATTGGATTGCACTTTGCCAAATTCTATTCATTCTCCATTCTATTGTAGAATGTTTACAATACATTGAAACTAATCCAACCTCATATCGTAAAGTAAGCGATTTATCACACTAGAAATAATAACTATATTGAAATAAATTTTACACCATTTTTTTTGTCCTGTTCTTTGATGCTAAGCAGTTTAAGACTAAAATAAGGCTATACCTTGGATTTAAAAGTATCTATGACTTGGAGGGCTTGCCGATGGTATTGCCATAGTTTGTAATCGTGCGTTTTTTGTTGTAACATCATAGGATGTCCAAATTTGTTGTTTGCATGGGCTATCTCCAAAACTAAAAGAGATAGAAAAAAGTAGCTTACATGTCATGATCTCGTATCTCGAGAAACTGCTTATGCCGAAAACTCCAAACAGCTATCGTCTTTTCTAATGTTTTTAAGTCGTTGCATATATTATGTTATTTTGCCTGTTCTGCCCAGTTATAGCAAAATATGAAAGAATGTGTTTTAACATAGCCTCAGACAGTCAAACCGCTCTCCAGGTCCTGCAAGCCGTGAAAACGGTGTCGGGTCTGGTTAATGATTGTAAGAGAACTTTAAGCACACTGAGTGGTCCCTGGTCATTTTGGGGTTGCTGGCAGATGAGCTAGCACGAGTTACGAGACGTACGGCAAAAGCCGAATGTTTCTAGTTCTAAGTCTAGTGTTAGTTCTAGTTGTTATTCAGCGCTGACGTCACAAACGGGTCTTAGTATTGTGCACCTGTTCATGGGATGTAGCAAAAATTAGCCACGCGACTGAACGTAACGGACACTTCCTTTCTCGTATTATTCCGTTATATCGGAACTTTACTGCATTGAAAAACTGCTATTTGAAAATTTAATAATCAAATTTAATTTTTGATAAAAAATCACCCCTTAAAATCATTTGCATCAATTTAGAAACACCTGTATATCAGAAGACACTTTAAAATACAATGATAATATCTCAGCTCCCGAAATGTAACTGAATGAAATTTTTTAACAAAACATGTAGAAGTTCATATTATTTCAATATTTTACATAAAAACTATATAAGTTATTATTAATCACAAAATTCTATATATTCAAGAAAATCCGAGAAATTATTTAATTTTATTATTTAATTACCTTAGGATGATCTACTATGCATTGACAGTCCCCTACTGACATATGGCATACTTGCCTGGGGTGTAGCCTCAAATTATCTTGTTAATAAGGTAGAAATAGCTCAAAAAATTATACTTAAAATTATGTCAGGTAAACCGCGTCATTTCCCGGCGGACTCTCTCTTTGCGCTGACTGAGGTCCTCAATTTAAAGCAGTTATACACTATGGAAATTACCAAATATATTATCCAGTAGCACTGGAATTCCCCGTACAGGGATAAATCACCAGAAACATATCTAATGCTTTAGCTAGACCATCTAAACATCATAAGTCGCATTCTGAGAGATTTTTTACTTGCCACATTCACAAAATTTACAATAGTTTTATGGTATTTCTTTCGTTAAACGACATAACAATTAACCGACCTAACATAAATAAGTTTATTAAATTGTGGCTGAAATCTCTTAACAATACGCAATTGTCTGCTTTGTATCAGGTGGTTTCCTAGCACTCATGCATGCTCTGCTTTGTTTACTTCCGTTTTTTGTCTTCCTCCTGTTACATAGTTTCACACTGAGAGAGTCAATTAGACTTGTCATAATCTTACTTTTAATTAAACAGTTTTTCCTGCACGAGTCGTTCTTAACTTACATTTAATGCCACGCACAGCACTTTGTGCGTGGCATTCAAATACATATTCAAATACATATATATTGATTTGTAACTATTGTATTTAGATTGAGCTTGTATTAGGTTGGAGAGAGAGAAAGAAAAAATAAAGGTTATTATTATTATTACCTACAACTAGAATCATTTGGGTTTAGCCGCACGTCTCTTAAGACGGCTAAACCCGAATGATTCTAGTTCTAGGTATAGTGCTAGTTCTAGTTTTACACTAGTACTGTTACTATGTAGGTGTTGATTGAAATTTTTTGTGATGTCTTTTTGTATGCTGTGATTGAAAGTTAAAGAAATGTATTTAATATTACTTTTTATGTGTGGATAAACTAGGTTTGTAATGGTACTATTGTGAATGTTGTTGAAAATCTCTTGTAAATCTGCAATGTTATACCCATTATTGAATCCCAATTGTAAAATATTGTTCACTTCTTTATAATAATTATCTTTCGAAAGAGGAATTTTATTTAATCTATTAATGTAATATCTAAACGCTGCTTTTTTATGTTGTGCACAGTTATAAGATAGTTTTGGAAGTATAGAATCGGTAGTCGTGCTTTTTCAAAATATATCGAAAGTAAAATTCTGTTCATTCCTTTTAATGTTTAAGTCTAAAAAATTGATTTCCGCGTAATTTTAATTTTCCAGAGTAAATTCTGGGTTGTTAACATTGTTGAAAAGTTCTGGATTTCTAGTTCTAGAGTTAGTTCTAGTTTTGCACTATCACTAGAACTAGAATAATTCGGGTTTAGCCATCTTAAGAGACGTGCGACTAAATCTACTGGCTGTAACCTTAACTTCGTAGCACAACTCGAACTGTTTCGACTTTGTATTAAAATAATATAGATTTCTAACATCCTTTATTTAAAAAATTCATTGAATTACATTTCAGGAGCTGAGATATCATTTTCTGAGGTGCACACTTTATTGTATCACTGTATGTCATTGAAACAACTGTAACGCTTTGGATCGAAACTAGACATTTCAATTCAATTTCTGTTTTCAATTCTCTCTTAAGAGTTACGGAAATTTATTTATTTATATAATATATATTTAACAAAAATATGATAATAACCGAGTTACTGAAAAAATAAATAACCCAAGATATGTCTGTTACCAAGTTAATTATGCATTTCAAAAAGTGGATAGAAAATTGTAATTGGAACATAAACACTTTTAAATTCTAATTAATATTTTTATGATTTGATAATTATATCAATAACAGATACAAGAAACGTGAAGGATGACAAAACACGAAATTGTTTTACGTTTAGAAAATGCGTCGTGGATGTCTCCTGCAGACTTATGACAAGTTTGTGTTGCGTCTAGTGAAGGAGAAGGGGAGAAGGAAATTGGCAAGAATAAAAGCCCTGGATCGGTGTTCTGATCAAATCATTCTTGTTGTTCAAGCCCCAAAAGAAACAAAACCAACGCAAAGCCATTTAACCGACAACAGGTGGTGAGTCAAATTTTTTATTTTTAAACCTTTTTTGCTAAGTTCAACAAAAAAAATATTTTCTTTCTATTTCTTTGTAAAATATCGTTCACCTGATCAACATGAATCATGTTTACGTTGTTTATTAATCGATTTATAAACAATATTTTTTCTATTTCTGTCGTTCTTAATAATTACATAATTTTATAAACAATGTAGTGGTCGAAAAGAATATTAAATTAGCTTCTAGAAGATAAACTTCTGTTTTGACCTCGAATAACATAATCTGAGAAGATTATAGAACTTTGTTGTATGTAAAAAGTTAAAAAGAGCTATTCT